TCTTTCCCTGACAGTTACATGGATTAATATTTAGTAAGAGATTTCTCTTGTTATTAGCATACCTTGCACCCTTCGGTTCACTGACCTCACTATCAGTTAAGGACCAGAAAATCCACAAAACTTAGAAGAGTGTTCGTGGCTTCTCAAATCTATTTCCTACATTTCTAACTAAAGAAGTGCAAAATCCTTGTCCAAAAAAAATCTTGGCTAAATAATTGTATTCATACTGCTTGTATATTTTCATCTGTCATATAATTCTAGTCATCAAATTCTTCTCAGCCAGAGGTGGCAACGCCCCCGCTGGAAATGTGTTTGGAAGGGTGTTGGGGGTGGCTGTCACAGTGGCTGGAGGCAGCACTGGGATTTGCGACATTAAACGTCCTGCAGGTTTTAGGACAGTCCCGCGAAAGAAAATTTGACCCCCTAAAAGAATAGTCCTACACAAAGTGCTGCAGCACTTCCGTTGAGGGACTCTATAAGCCAAGGAAAATGCAATTACCAAGAAGGTAGAAAGTCCCAAACTGCGATCATTTCAGTGAGAGAGAATAGATGCTACAACTTGCAAAGTACTGTCTCTCCATTGGTTTCACCTGATTTTGGTTTTGAATTGCCACAGGTGGCGTTTGGAGAACCCATGAAGCTGCTGGTAGTCAAATCTGAGCTGCCGGCCCTCTGAAGAAGCTTCTGTCGTCCTTAACCGCTGGATTCCAAACTATTAAATCAAAATGTAACTGTATTCCTACTTAGTATGTCAAACGCTGGCCACTCTCAGTAGATCCTTGAGACGTTGGCCTTGTCGGGCTTTAGCAGAGTTCCATGTTACATTTCTATTTATGAGCTTCAGCTGCTGATAAAGCACTTCCTGTACTCTTATTATCATAGTGATCCTCTGAATAACCCGTGTGATTTCGGCTTGGAAAGTCACCTTATAAACCTTTCTTATCCCCAGACTTGGAGCATATAAACATTTAGATGTCGTTTCTTGTAAATATTCTAGACATTTACCCAGACTCTACTTAAACATATACTGAAAACTTGGGTTGCATACCTCCCTGTCTGTGTTTAGAAGGAGAAGAAATTCTGGAACATTACCCCATCTCTGGGGTTTCTTTGTTGGAAGTTACTATCAAGAAGCCGTGTTTTATTATTAAACTTAGCCACCTGCAAAATGTGTTGCCCCCCATTGCTCCTTGGGCAGCTAGTGGAGTGAGTCTGGCTGAGTAAGGGAGCCATTGAACAGCGTGGAAGGCCGTCTGCTCCCTTAGGCATATTCCTCCAGACTTGGGCACCTGAATCTCCAAGGACCTTTTCATGTTGTACCTGAAATCC